ATGAACCTCCGATAATAGCCGGCCAACCCTAGAAAACTCCTGATCTCAGAAGGAGATTTCGGCACCTCCCAATTCATTACTGCCTCGATCTTGGCCGAATCGACCAAAATCCCCTCTTGGTTAACGAGGTGACCAAGGATTGTACCTCTCGTAACCAAAAATCGCACTTGGAGAATTTGGCGTAAAGCCTCTCCGATCTCAGCACGCTGAGGATCTCCCGCAAATGCTCCTCATGCTGCTCCCTGGACTTTGAATACACCAAAATTTCGTCAATGAACACAATCACTGATCGATCCAGCATCGGTCTGCATACCCTGTTCATAAGATCCATGAATGCTGCAGGCGCATTGGTGAGCCCGAATGGTTTCACCACAAACTCGTAATACCCATAACGAGTTCTGAACACAGTCTTCTGGATATCCTCCTCGTGCACCCACATCTAATGATATTCAGATCTCAGATCAATCTTGGAAAACCAAAATGCTCCCTGTAGCTGATCGAACAAGTCATCGATCCTCGGCAAAGGATAACGGTTCTTGATCGTTAACTTATTCAGCTCTCGATAATCTATGCACATTCGGTGCGAACCATCCTTTTTCTTCACAAACAGGATTGATGCTCCCCACGGCGAGCTGCTCGGCCGTATAAACCCTTTCCCCAACAGCTCCTGAAGCTACGAGGATAACTCCTGCATCTCTGGAGGTGCAAGGCGATAGGGCGCCTTGGCGATAGGTGCTGCCCCCGGAATCAAATCAATGCGAAACTCCACCTGCCTCTCGGGAGGCACACCCGATAACTCCTCAGGGAAAACATCCGGGAATTCACACACTATCGGGACCTCCTCAACCGCACTCGGTCTCCCTACACCAACCCTCATATCCGTCACATACGCTACAAAACCACTACAGCCCTGCTGTAGACTTTTCCTCGCTCTAGCAGCCGAACAAAACGCTGAATCGGGTCGGGTACCCTCGCCGTACACAGTAAGAACTCCCCCACTTGGGTCTCGTATAGTCACCAGCTGTCGCTCATAGTTGATAACTGCTCCAAATCTGCTCAACCAATCCATGCCTACGATGACACAGACGCCCCCCCCCCCCCCATCGCAATCGGGACCAAATCAATAGGAAACTCTACACCGAAAATCTCAAGTACACATCCCTGAATCACCTCCGTGGCATATACTGCTCTCTCGTCGACGATGGAAACTCTCAGAGGTCGACTCAACACCTCTCGACTAATGCTGATGTGCCGACTGAAAGCCAACGATATAAAAGATCGACTCACACCCGAGTCAAATAACACCAAAGCAGGTACAGAATTCAAAAGAAAAGTACCTACGCATATCATAATATAAGCATAAAATCTTAAACATTAAATAATTACATGAAAGAATACATACCCGCCACGACATCGTGCGCTGCACGGACCTCCTCCGCGGTCAACTGGAAGGCTCTCCCTCGTGCCTTCGGTACCTCGGACTTCACTGGCCGGCTCTCAGTAGCTCTGATAGCAGCAGGGGCAGATCCCTGTGGTGCTCCCTGGGTAGTCCCTCGCAACAACGGACACTCTACCTTCCGGTGTCCGGTCTGGTTGCAGTGAAAACACACTGCAAACCCCTTTGGGCAGTCTTTGGCCATATGCCCCTCCTTGCCATACTTGTAGCAAGATCCCGCTCAACAAACTCCATCATGACCCTTGCCGCACTTCCCACAAGTACGACCCTTCTAGTTCCCTGCCCTGGAATCAGCGGGCTTTGCCCGCTTGGCTGCCGGCTGAGACTGTGTCGGTCGCCGATCCCTCCCCTGAGACTCTGCCTCCTCCCTCGCCTGAGTCTCTAGCTCGATCTCCCTCTTCCGGGCATTTTCCTGAAGCTCGGAAAATGTCCGGTATGAGGAGTTCGACACGAACTCCCGAATGTCTCTCCTCAAAATACTCAAATAACGGCTCATTCGTGCCTGCTCAGTAGACACGTGTTCAGGGCAGAACATTGCCCTCTCATGAAACATCCTAGTAATAGCCGTAACAGACTCCATACCCTGCTTGAGGGTCAAAAACTCCTGTGCCAACCGATCTCGTTCCACCGAGGGAATGTACTCATCACGAAACATGGTGGTGAACCTCTCCCAGGTCACCGCAGCAAGCTCTGCTGGTGAATCTCTTCCCATTTCCACATCGGAATGGGTAGCGGATGGACCTTTCCATAAGGCCTCTGATGTTCGGTCTTGACCTTCCAGTAGGTCAAGCACCGCACCACGAACCAAGCGACCTCCCGCTTCATGTAGGGCCACCAATAACTCAACCTCATATCTTGGTACATTTTTGTGGCCCCCGGATGAATAGATAACCTGGACTTGTATGCCTCCTCCAAAATCTTCTGTCTCACTCCCCCATATGTCGATACCCACACCCGGCCACACTTTGTTAAAAGACCCCGATCATCTTGAACAAATAAGGGAATCCGAACCTGAATCCACTCTAACTTCCAATTTTCTCACTTCAAACCCTCCACCAGAGCATCCTTGATCATATCCAGCAATGGGGAAATCATCATCATCCCTAGACAAACATCTCTGATCGGAGCACTTGCCGCCTTACGGCTCAGAGCATCGGCCACCACATTAGCCTTCCTGGGGTGGTACAAAATCTCACAATCGTAGTCTTTCAGTATATCCAACCACCTCCTCTGCCGAATATTGAGGTTCTGCTGATCCATCAGATACTTCAAACTTTTGTGGTCAGTAAAAATGGTGTACCGAACTCCGTACAACTAATTCCTCCAGATTTTGAGGGCAAAAACCACCACCCCAATATCAGGTCGTGAGTGGGGTAGTTCACCTCATGAGGCTTCAGCTGCCTCGAGGCGTACGCGATCACATGAACCCTCTGCATCAAACAACCCCTAACCCTATGATAGATGCATCACAATACACCACCAAATCATCCAGCCCCTTAGGTAGTGCTAAAATCAAGGCCTCACATAGTCTCTGTCTCAAGGTCTCGAAGGCCAACTGATGATCCGGGCTCCACCGAAATGTCACATTCTTCTTGGTCATGCGAGTCAAAGGTACGACAATCTTAGAGAAATCCTGAATAAATCTCCTGTAATGCCCCGCTAGGCCCAAGAAGCTACGAATCTCAGATGCATTCTTCGATATTTCCCATCGCATCACTGCCTCAATCTTGGCTAGATCAACCAGAATACCCTATTGGTTGATGATGTGCCCTAAAAACTGCATCTCACACAACCAGAAATCACACTTTGAGAACTTGGCATAAATTTTTCCTGCCCTCATGGTCTCCAATACCTCCCTCAAATGCTGCTTATGCTGCTCCTTGGTCTTAGAATAGACCAAGATATCATCGTTAAAAACGATCACAGATCGATCCAACATCGGCTTACACACCCTATTTATGAGGTCCATGAATGATGTTGGGGCATTGATGAGCTGGAATGACATCGCCACAAACTCATAGTGACCATACCGAGTCCTAAAAGTTGTCTTCGGTATATCCTTATCCCTAATCCTCATCAGATGGTACCCCGACCGAAGATTGATCTTGAAAAACCAAGATGCACCATGAAGTTGATCGAACAAATCATCGATCCTTGGAAGTGGATAACGGTTTTTCACCGTTAGCTTTTTTAGCTCTCGATAATCGATGCACGTCCTTTGTGAACACTCCTTCTTTTTTACGAACAGGATCGGTGTTCCTCACGGAGAGCTGCTTGGGCGGATAAACCCTCGGTCTAGTAGCTCCTGAAGCTGCGTAATACCCGTGAGATGGTTTAGATCGAGTGTTAGAACAACTTTCTTCTCAAGCCCTAACTATGCCGACCAAGAAAAAGAACCTCGACTGAAGATGCATGCCTCGTTGCATGTTGTTTAGAGAAGACAAAGACAAAGCATTTTCCAAAAAATTCATCTTTAGTCCTAGAAGATTCTGACGGCATCTACCCTTAAATCGAATTTTTTTAGCAAGCTTATTTATAGAATTAACACAATACCCCCTTAAACATATAAATCTTCTTATATTGAATAAATTGATCTATTATTATTATTATTATTATTATTATTATTATTATTATTGTTATTATTTTTAACTATAAAAAAATGACATACCGAAAATTGAAACGAGCATTACATATCTTTTTTGACTCTTAAAGCCGCCATCGATATCGTATTTAACAACTTAAGTATGGCTCATGTGAGATTTTATGAATGGTACTTTGATTTGTAGTTGAGAATGTTAAAACTAAAAATGTAATTATTCGTTTTTTCTTATTAAAATTGTGTTTTTCTTATTGTATATATTATACGATTTTATTTTTTGGATACCCCTTTACTTTAACTTTGGATCCGCGAGTATCATGAATGCATGCATTGTGGTTCGAAGCGTAAAACTCCAACATATGATCCCTTCTTTTGATTCCTGTGTGTTGGAGTATCTTAATTCCAAATATCAAAATAAATATCATAATTTCCTGATTATGGTGTTGTAAAAATGACCAAAAAAGAAAATCAAATAGAGGGATACGACCATGGTTCTAAAAAGCGCGCAATGGCGCGCCTCAAGGCGTGTCATGGCGCGATGCGTGGTATAGTCGTTACGAAAATGTCTAAGGCGGGTTTGTGAAGCGTGACGCTCAAATAACGTGTCAAGGCACGCCTTATCACGTTATGGTGCGAGTTTTTTTCAAGTCGCTGGTTTTTTTGTTTTTTTTTCTTTTGTTTTTTTATAATAAAAGAGTTTTTGTTAACTTTTTTCTATTAGATAGTAATATAACACTTCTAAAAACTTTATATATTTGATAAAATTCAATAATTATATGATTTATATCTTTTAAAGTATATAATATAGTCACGCCTTGAAAAACGTCATGGCTCGCCAAGGCTTGCCATGGCTTAACTTTTAATTTACCGTCAAATCACGCCTTACGTTATTTAAAACTGGATACCACTTGTGGGAAAAAAAATAAAGATATAAATTGTGAATACGTTAAAAGGATGCCTAAGTCATCCTTTGATTCCCCACTTTTAACAAACTTCCGAATCAAAAAAAAATTCTGTTACTCTATCTCTTTCCTTTTTCTCTCATTCCCCTACACGGAAAGAATTATGATGCACAAAGCCACAAACTTTATTCGATGCCTTCAATCTGTTCGACGATATGTCTGAACCAATAAAAAATCTTTTCAATGGCCTCCGCCATTGAAAACCCATGTCCAACCTCGCAAGAAAACTCAACGGATGAACGACTAATCAATTCGGGTCGCATTCAGAAAGAAAAACAAAAATGGGCTTCTTCACCGGTCTCTTTTTCGGTGTTGCATTTGGCCTTGGTTTCATAGTCTGCATTGCTCGTTTCCAGATCATTCGATCTGCTCGTCGTGCTGATCTGGTATGTGTTTTTGATTATGAATTCATAATACGTTAATGACGCAAACACATAATCGTACGACATGAAATGATGAAAGCAATCTGAACACACTGTATTCGTTTCTGTTGATTGATTAATAGTATATAATTTGTGTTAAGTTCAGGCTGGAACCATAGCTGCATTTGCAAAGATGACTGTTGCGGATTCCAGAAAGCTTCTTCCAGGAGAGTATTACCCTCCTTGGGTTGTTTTTGCAAGGAGACAGAAGCTGAATTGGCTTAATCTCATAATGAACAAGATTTGGCCATATGTTGATGAGGTACTTCAGTTTCTTTCATTATATTTGATTCTTGTATATATTCTTCAAAAATAAATAAATAAATGTAATAATTTCTTTTTGGGTTTTGTTGGATGCTAGCATAGGCAGCGTCCGATCTAATAAGAAGCTCTGTGGAGCCGATACTTGAGCAATATAAACCAATCATTTTGTCTTCTTTAAAATTTTCAAAGTTAACCCTTGGTACTGTGGCTCCACAATTTACAGGTTTGTTCCTTCTATTGCTAATTAATTTGTTGACATGCACAATTTTGTTTAATTCATAGTATGCTTCCAAACGCATTTTGTTAACCATGAATTAAACAAAGTTGGAACTGAAACGCCTACACTGCAACCACAAAGAGCCATAGTAGTTGCAGTGTGAACTTACGGTTTCAGTTCCAATGTGGATTAAGCTCCTTGTATTATGTCAGTCTTCTAGAAGGTTTTTGGACCTCATAATGCTCTTGAGGCATGTTGGTGTGCTGAAATTCATATATAACAAGCTTTTTATGGGGTTGTAGAAATTCATTGTTAAAAATAAGCTATTTATAGCATACAACAAGAAGATGTATACTAATATATTGATATAATTGCATAAAGTGTAAGATGCAAACGTTTGATTTGATAGATTTTCTAATAAATACCTAAATTAGGCTATAAGTCGTTGAGAAAACTTTTCCACAATGATTTTTAACTATATTGGTTGAAAGACAAATATATAAATTTGAAAAGGAATCTTTCCACAAACGGAACATAGATCTTCAAAAATCTTTCCAAAAACGAAAGATACGTTACAATGAATAATAGACGATTGATTTATTCCACAAATAATACCTTATGTATAGTAGGATGTTGCTAATTTTGGCATATTAAACCAAATATCAAAATTCTAAATATTGGGCTTCTTATGGGCATTGGGCTCTTATTTCAACTACATAAACAGGCTGTGTAAGTTGTGTGTGATGTTCTTGGGGTAGTAGACCTGATAAATCTTATCTAATACAATGATATAATTTTGCATAAAAAACGTGCAACATTTGATTTGATACATTTTTTTAATAAATACCTATAATACCATTTAAGATGATAAAAATGATCAAACCTATCGATCATGATCAATCTCCCCACTATTGTTGAAAGACAAATACCTAAATTTGAATACCTATAATACTATAAAAAAACGTGCGACATTTGAGATATACACCAAAATTCATAATCCTAACTAAAATAGTAAAATTTCATGCGTAGAATAGAGATTGACTGAAGGAGATCCATAATTTCACAAATCTTAAACTATAAAAGAAAGAAAATCAAAATGCACAAATCTTGAGATTTTGGGAAAGTTCCAATAAAAAACGCAAATAATCGAATTTGGGCCCAATGGTTGGGCCAAAATGACAAAGCCTATAACTTCATATGAATCAAAAGTTATCATTGGTTAAAAAATTAAAATTGACTGTTTTCATTATTTCAATTTTCAAGTTCAACACACAATTGTTATAAAGTTGATAAATATAATGTGGGATTGATGATTTATAAATATTTGTAGGAGTTTGTGTGGAAGAAGGTGAGCTTGGAGAAATTACCATGGAAATGGAGGTGCAATGGGATGGAAACCCTAATGTAATTCTTGATATTGTCACCAGAGTTGGTGTGGCTTTACCCATACAGGTTCTATAATCTTTTTTATTTTTATTTTTTTATAACGTAAAAAAAGGAAAAAAAAAAAAAAAAATGATTTTGATCTTTTGTTTTTGCAACAGGTGAAGAATATTGCTTTCACAGGCCTTTTCAGACTCATTTTTAAACCATTAGTTGACGAGTTTCCTTGTTTTGGAGCAGTTTTATTTTCCTTGAGAGAAAAGGTATATTTGTTAAATACTATTTTTTTATGTACAACTTTTATTCATATAGATATATATTTTCTTTCATTTACAGAAACAACTAGATTTCACACTTAAAGTTATTGGTGGAGATTTATCAGCACTTCCTGGGGTATCTGATGCCATAGAGGTATATTCTATTATGCAATGAATAAATTACAATTCTTAAATTCTGTACCGATATTTAACATTTTAATTATATTATAAATCGAAAAAAATTATGTTACCCTTTTCTCATGAGTCATGATTTCACTTTCTGTTTATATTATAGGAAACAATCAAAGATGCTATCGAAGACTCTGTCACGTGGCCAGTTCGAATAGTTATACCAATATTAGCAGGCGACTATAGGTACATCACATGCTTACACGTGTCATCCACTTCTACTATCATAAAAAAAAAAAACATAATTAATTTTATAAATCGAATTATTTGTTTAGAAACAGAAAAATAAGCGTCTTCCTCATAGTTGATATTAACACGTCATTTACGTTTTATACTTTTCATTATGAACAAAATAAAAATTAAAAACTTTTGTTTTAGTGACTTGGAGTTGAAGCCATGTGGAATACTAGAAGTAAAGCTGATAGAAGCGAAAGAATTAACGAACAAGGACATTATCGGAAAATCAGATCCTTACGCCACTCTATTCGTACGTCCACTTCGTGCAAAAATGAAAAACAGCAAGACAATTGTAAGAAGTAATAAATTAACTACACCGATAATACAATTTTTCATTAATTCACACTTAAAATATGGTTTGATTTTGATTTTGTGTGCAGAATAACCAATTAAACCCTATTTGGAATGAGCATTTTGAGTTCACTGTTGAAGATCCGAATACTCAGCATTTTACAATAAGAGTGTTCGATGATGAAGGAGTCCAAGCTTCCGAGTTAATTGGGTGTGCGCAAGTCCCCATTAAAGACCTTGAGCCTGGGAAAGTCAAAGATATATGGATCAAATTGGTCAAAGATTTGGAGATTCAAAGAGATAATAAAAAGAGGGGTCAGGTAATTAAATACTAGTAATATATTTCATTGTGTTTTTCTAGACATCATTAATGATATGATATGATATGTATGAAATTTTTAGGTGCATTTGGAGCTGTTATATTGTCCTTTTGGAACAGATGCGGGATTTCAAAGTGCATATAACCCTGATTTCAGATTAACAGATTTAGAGAAAGCACTCAAGTCAGGGATTAGTGATCCAGACGTTGATCCAGCAAAACTTGCTGCACAAAAGAAGAAAGAAGTGATTGTGAGAGGAGTTCTTTCTGTAACAGTAATGTCCGCTCAAGATCTTCCAGCCGTTGATCTTATGGGAAAAAGCGATCCTTATGTTGTACTTTTAATGAAAAAAACAGAACAGAAATTAAAAACCAGGGTAATTTTTTATTATTATTTTTTTTAACATTTTCATCAAAAATCCATCGGTCTAAATGTTTTTTTGCAACAAATATACAAATGGCTGCTAGAATTTATAGCCATTGAGGGTTTTAAAAAAATCCAAAAAAAAACACTACATGAAAGTTTAAGGTCGATAAAAACCAGTACTCAGAATTTATTTTATGATTTAACGTTGATTTTGAAATTTTTTTTTTTTAAAAAAAAAAAAAAAAAAAAAAAAAAAAAGCAATCTTAACTAAAGAAATATTCTTCTGAATGATTTTGCAATTTCATTACCAAAAAAATAAGTGGGGGAGTTTTTTTTTTAAAAAAAGAAAAAACTCGGTAATTAAACTAGAAAAAAGCTGGTTCGGTAAGGAATTTTAAAGGAATTTGGTTATTTTATGTTATGATATTTCAATGATTTGATTTTTTTTTCAGGTTATAAATAACACTTTGAATCCTGTATGGAATCAGACATTTGACTTTGTTGTGGAAGATGGATTACGTGATTTGCTAATGTGTGAAGTGTGGGATCATGATACTTTTGGAAAGGTACACATCTTTTTTTTTTTTCATATTTAATACATTCCGTATTTGCTAAATAAATAATAAGTTAAGATGGGACCACAAATTGAAATAAAATTAATGAATGTAAACTAAATATAAATATCTGTTTTACTCTAAAAAGGCAAGACTCTCTTTGGCTATAAATTAATTTTTAAAATGCTAGTCGGACTAACGAATCAATAGTTTTTATAGATATTCTGCAACATATAATCCTGAGTAAAGCGCAACAATTGTGAAAAAAGAAATTTCGTTTTATTAATTTGTACACATCCAAAAAGAACATATCTTATTTTTTACTAGTTTATGGTTTTAAAATCACAATACTTTTAAGTTTAAGTTTAAGATTGAACTTATTCTTCTAGTATGCCATAGCCCATAAATATATATATGTTTTCATTATTATTAAAGGGTATTTTGATATCCTCTTTTAAGTTTATGGTCATTATATATATATATATAATTTTGGGTCTTGTATCAGGATAAAATGGGCAAATGCATCATGACACTTACGAGGGTGATATTAGAAGGTGAATATACCGAAACATTTGACTTAGAGGGATCTAAAGCGGGAAAGCTGACTTTGCATCTAAAGTGGACCCCACAAACGATTATTCGTGATCCTTGATAAATCAAAACTCAATTGTTGGTCATTTGCATCATGATCAATAGAGCTTAAAGGCTTTGTGCAATGAACTCACACGCAAAAACCTTATGGGTTCAACTTTATAGAAGAGTACACAAATAAGAAGAAAATGACCATATTAACAAGTCTTTTGCAGGGTTTTTTTTTTTTTTTTTTTTTTTTACCTTGATTGAAATCGTTCTTTATTTTTTTCTTAGTTATTATTATTTTATATTTTTGAGGTAACTGTAAATGATATATAGATGACAAATCTTTGTACCAGTTAAAATTATAATCGCCTGTGTCTTTTAACTTTAGTAGTCAGGGGGTTTAATCGGGTTTTTCATCCTGAAAAACCCAACTGTTTAACCATCCGTCCAAACCGAATTACTAAATGGCCTTCTGTTAATCAAATTTTTAGTTGTATTAATTTTCACGATTTATATTTTATTTTTTTGTTCATTTTTGTAATTATAATCTATACATTTTATTTGTTGGGTAGGACCCGAATTAAACAACTCAAAATCGAACACTTTCACCTGAAATTTAATTTGGTTTAAACCAAAACCGAAATCTAAACCTGCAGGAGCTGAATCAGAGCACCGAAACATAAACCGGCTTGGATGGGTTATTAAAATCACAAGGACTTTTGAGCAATTTTGATTTAGTAAAGGGTATTTTAGCAAATTACCTTACTTTTAGGTGCAACTATCTTTTCGTGGAGTACAACCTAAGCTTGTCATCATGACAACTTTATAAAGTCAACTAGGAGAGTAAATCTTGGACTTAGTATGTAGTGGGAATAGATGCAACTCGCCATAAAAAGATATATTTTAGTACTATAACTATGGGAATAGATCATTTTGGTCCTCTAAATTTTGACATCTTTATAGTGGACAAAGTGTAGTTACTTATAGACCCAAATATCTTATTGGTTTAGGGCTAAAAAAGTTCGAGCCTGGATCAATATAGAACCATATAGTCTTGACCTAGTCTAGACCGGGTCACTTCTATGTTTAGCGATCCGTTGGTCTTTATATAGTCTTAAATCGGTCAAAAGTTGGTCCGATTTCATAGACCCGGTCATAAATCTGGAGTAATGCCCAAATTTTGAATTCTAACAATTATAATCCAGAACCAATGACTACCTTTTGGTCTTGGGTCCATCTAAACCGGTCCCAAATCCTTTTTATCTTTATAAATCTCTTATTTTTCTCTCTTGATTTAATCATTTTAAGCAATATTTAAACTAAAATCATAAAATGTTCGGGAATCGAAGGTAGTTGTAATACATATTGGTCCGATTTCAATCCAGCGACAGCGTTTGAGGAAGCTAGAAAAGGAAGTTGTATCGCATAATTCGAATTATTTCACCTAATTCAAACAAAACAACAAACTCATTGGTAACCGCAATTAACTTAGATATGTTACATCCAACTCCAATAACATGATATCTTGACAATTATAATGTCAATTTTAACCAAACTATTAACCGGATATCATAAAGAACACATTTCAATGATCTTCACCACCACATTACCCAACTCTTCTTGTAAGGGTTGCATACATTTTTTGGAGTATTATATGAAACAACAATGATTATATCACAAACTTGTTTCCTAACGACCAATGTTGTTTTGTTTAATATGTATGAACTAATAATAAATACAAGTTTTGAATCATAAAATTGCCAATAGAAAGCGATTATTAGTGAAATGACAACGATAGTTATAAAAATATATATTGAAAACTTTTCTACGATTTTATGATTTCTTTGACATTAAATACATATATTAAATTTAAAGGTTTACTCAAGAGTATTACTACTACTAGTGTAAAGATCGATTTCAGGTACTCTTTAATATTTGGATTTAGTCTTAAAAAGTTTGCATTTTTGGTCCCAATTATGTTGGGCGTAACATGGAGTACGCTAGGCGTACTCCCTTAAGTTGGACGCGGGGGTTGGTGGCGTACGTTGGGTGTACCCATAAGTATATTGGGCGTGTATAAGCAGACCACAAACCCTAATTTTTAGTGTTTGGCACCTATTTAAGTGTCATTATGGACCTTGAGGCTGCCCCTTCATTAGCCTCCTTTCCTCTCTAGACTCCCTACGAACCCTAGTTTTTCCTTGTGTGTTCTTGAGCTTTGGTGGTAAACTTTTTGTGTTTTTGTACTTATTGAAGAAGAATGAACTTGGTGATCAAGCATTAGTTAGAGTGGGGATTGAAGATCCAGAATCTTCATCATCTTGACAAGTCTCAGAAGGTATAAAGTTTCAACCTTATTGATTCATCTCTTAAATCTAGTTAGCTTAGAGTTCTTAGCATGATTTGGTCCCTTGAGTTGTTCCATGTGAGTATAAGCTACTCCATAGGATTATAATGGTATATCTTAGTGTTTTTGAAGTACCTTGTGCATAAAAATGTTATCTTGATAGATTTAACTCAACCATACAATGGTTGATGTTCATTTCATGGGGTTAGAATGTTGAAATTGGGTATCGAGGCTTCTTAAGCCATGCAAAATCTTAAAGCTTCCAGCTTTATTAATTAAGACCTTATTTTGGAGTAGATCTAAAGTTTGGACGACAGGGTCTTAAGGGATTAAGACATCTTCATGAGGATTAGTTCACAGACTAGTATGTCGGGTGTACTTCTATGACGATACGCGTACTGGGTTTGAACCTTGTATTCTAGTCGATGTGAGTACACACGATGTGCGAGTTGGGTACTCTCAACGTACTCCTAACTATGGGTTTAGAAGGTTTTGGGCCATTTTGGGCTTCGGGTGCTTTAGGGTTTGGTTCACGGTTATTTGGGTTGATTAAGGGGAAGGGTAAAATAGCCTTTTACCCTAGATGTCAAGTTTTATTAATTAGATTCACGGTTATCGATTATGTCCTAATAACCTAATTATTAATTAGGGTATTATTTGATTGATTAGTGTGGGGATTCTCCGGTTCACCAGCCCATTCATCTATTTGTTTATCAACGGATAGAGGTAAGTTTGCTCACGATATTGTAGGATACTATGGTTTTATGTACTTGTTATCTTTGTGACTCTTGTTGTATGCTTGTATGTCTGTTTGTTGTATGTATATTGGGTGAAATAGTTTAGAGGGTGAAATAGACTTATACGGTTGAAAATTATCGATTGAGTTAATATAGACTCGGGGATGAAATAGACCCGGGATGAAAAGACATGGTACATCCTTGAGCTAACATATGAGTTTAAATAGACTCGAAGGTGAAATAGACCCAGGGTGAAATAGACCTGGTATAGCCTTGAGCTGACATATATGTATGTTATGCGGTATTTGGGAACTCATTAAGTTTTGTACTTACGGTTTTCAGCTTATGTTTCAGATACATCCGTTTTGAAGGGGAAGAGCTCGGGATGATCGCATCGCACACACCATGATTTTCCGCCTTTTGACTTTGATGTAGTTTTGGATAATTGTTGACATAATCTATTTTCCTTTATGATTTTTCTAAACATGTTTGGTTGATGGATTTATTAGTACAAAAATGAAACTTTTTTTTATAAATTTTAGGATGTTACAAGTTGGTATCAGAGACTTGGTTTGATAGATTCGGGCATAATCTCGAGTGTATCTGAACTTAAACCGAGTGTTTGGTAGATCATTTTATAAAAAGAAATGTTTTATTAAAGGATTTTCTAATAAAAAGAAAGGGTGTGGTGCATGCAATCGAACGAGATCAAGTAAGTTATAACACCTTGTTTCGAGTCGTTTCATAATTTATGATCGTGACCCAAAGATCAAGTATCATAAGGCTTCGGGCTTTGGGGAAAGAGAGGTTTAGCCCCCATTTGGATGTGGGTAATTGAAACCTCCCAAAAATATGATCCAAAATTTTCATTTTTAATTTAAATAAAATGGTATTCCAAAAACATTATCCATACAACCGAAATGAAAATAAGTATATCAAACATCATAATAATCAGAGTGATATCTCAAAAGCAGAATCCATGTGGTGTGTGCGATGCAGTGTACCCGAGCTCTTTCCCTTGGAACCAGAAGTACCTGAAACATAAACTATAAACCGTAAGCGCAAAGCTTAGTGAGTTCCCTAAACTACTCCATAACATACATAATACATCACATACTGGGCCCCCACCCTACATTGAGCCCCGCTCAGTATACTGATCCATTATTCTTAGGCCCCGCTTGACATTGGGCCCCACCCACTATACACATACAATACATATCACATAATCATGCTAACACATACAATGATCATAAACAATAGCATACAATTCAATCATCAGGCCTTACATGGCATCGAGCCCTGTTTGGTACACATAACAACACATAACATATACAAGGGTCACGTAGACTCCTAGCATCCTAACATAAACAACAAAGGTCTGTATTGGTGCCTTATACCCGCTAATCCTAGTGAGGGAACTCATCTCGACTGCTGAATCTCACTGAAAATCCTTGGTTGTTGGTCCAAAGAATCCTCGAGCTGATCATTACCAAAATAACACCCAATCAACATTTCGGTTCCAATCCATAACCATAAGTCCATACTTGGGGTAAAAAGACCATTTTACCCCTAACCTAGCTTGGTCCAAGACTAAGGCCCAAACTCACAAGTCTAAAAGGCCCAAAAGCCAATTAATCAACCAAGGCCCAATTATGACCCAATTTTCCAAATAGGGCTTAAACCCCATACATGGGCCTTACCCTGAAGCCCAACCATTTTTCCTAGTCCAAAACACTTATACATAGATGACCCAATAAGAAATCAAACACCCACGCCCAAAAGAAAGCCCAAACTTGAAGCCCAATATGAAAAATCCCACCTAATTGAGTATGTGGGGCGTATTCAGCTGTATGCTAAGCATACAATCTATTTGGCTTGTACGTTGCACATACAAACTTGTTCATTCAGCGTACTCATCCATTAAGCCAATCTCTTCATTAAGCTCTTAATGCTTAAGTCCAGAAGTCCAAACCACAGATCTGAGTCCTAATAAGTGTCTAGAACCATAAAGTCACTGACTTGGTGACTTTGGATGCTCCAAAAGAACTCTAATTCAATATATAACATTATACTTTCACCAAATGGACACAGTCTCATGCATGGGGGATTCTAAACCCTAAAGGTGACAACTTTAGGAATCTAGAACC